TGAATTGGTTCCTAATTCTAAAATTTGGTCATTCATTCCGGGGTGGTGCTATGGACTATTTGGAAATGTAGGAATGCCGTTGTGTTCGAGGGGGGTAGGGTAGATCAGATTGATCTATTCTTTATGGCAAATTGCAGGTTGGCTGCTTGGTTTTTAGCTTATTACAAGGTTGTATCTATTTCTAAGGATTCTCTAATTGGTGACCCTTCACTTGGGGATTGTTGCTCTTTATCAAGCTCTCCTATCATCGAAATTGTGTCTTGGTCTCACCCTCCAAAGGGCTTTATTAAGTTGAATGTTGATGCGGCAGTGACTGCAGACTGGAGGAAAAGTGGTGTTGGGGGCATCCTAAGGGCTCATGATGGTTCGGTGTTGGGTTCCTTTCGAGAGGCTGTTGGTCCAGGTCCTCTTATTTTGATAGAACTTAAGGCTATTAAGAAAGGGTTATCCTTCTTTGTGCCGTTTCAGCAGAGTTTTAAGGACAGGTTAATTGTTGAATCAGACAGTAAATTAGCAGTGGAATGGGTCAAGAGTATTGATCGCTGTCCCTATGTGTACTTAGACATTGTGACAGCTATTGTTGATACGATTAGAGGTTTGAATGGTAGTATTAGATAGGTTGCTAGGTCAGCAAATGTTAAGGCTGATAGTTTAGCTAAGGCTTGTATTGGATAGATATGATGTTTTCGTTTGGTTGGTTAGTTTATCTGTTAGGCTTTGGGTTGGTTTGGCAAGAGAAATTGTAAGGTTGTTTTTAAGTTTTTGTAATTTGTGGTTATTAATGAAATATTTAGGCACTCTTTCCCCCTTCCGCTGATTAAGGAGCATCTCATTAAGGGGATTTTAACGAGGCCTTGCATTCCTATAAAAAAAAAAACTCAGCTTTAGCAAATTGCCATGTATTTTCCGGTTTGATACTTTGTCAGTGAAAGGCTTAAACTTTTAAGTGCTAGTTAGGAAATATGAAATGCAAGGAAATTTATAGATGCCTTGAGATTCTGCAAAACCATTTCTGTTGCTAGAAACTTGAACTTTTATCAATGCCATTGTGTTTAAGAGCTAATAAATTAAATGACTTAAAATGCTTAATGTTGATCTTTCCACTGTTCAGCAGGTTTAGTTACTCATTATTTGACATCAAAGATACCCTTGGACACCCACATTTTGGGATGGGAGGGCTGCTGCAGGCTCTAAACATATTCCTAGTGCCATGTTCAAACAAAGGAATTTTTCAAGAAAATCGAAAGAAACCGAAGCATTAACCATTCGACCGAAGAAATGCATCACTTTCAGTATGAACTTTCTTGTTTCACCGGAGATATGCAACCTGAAAAAATAGCAACTTTTTATAACATTGGTGTTAATTGCACTGTATTGTTGCAGAGTTTCAATTCACAGAGTAAGGATTTGCAGAAGTGTTAGATGTCTTATGAACAAGTCTCTTATTGAGCAGCAAATGAGACCTCTGATACAATACTGGCTCCCCTTCCCTTAGCCATGTATAGGCCTCTGTGATGCATAAGATCCTGCAATTGGAATTTTTTTCAAAAGAGATTCTATCAATAAGGAAACAAGAAGGCCAAGGTTCGTTCGTTCGTTCTTTCTTTCTTTCTTTCTTTATTATTATTATTATTATTATTATTATTATTATTATTATTATTATTATTATTTATTATTATTATTAAGTTTGAACATCAAAATTGAACCAAAAACAAGGGCATCATTAATATTGAAGTACCTGTGAATGAGCCAGGGCACGGATTCTTATGATACTTATGAAAATTATTTAAAATATAAATCTAATATATTAATTATATATTAAATGTATTTTTTCTAAAACGTTAAATAATATTAAGATTGAAATATTTCTATGAATTTTCATTTAGGTATTTATAATTTGATATTAAAATTTAAATTTTTTAAAAAACATATATCAAAAAGGATACTTTGATAAAATATATATTCAAGTAATCTTATATTATTTCAATCAAACACTGTAATTTTATATTCATGTTAAACAAATCAAACAAAATAATATAATAATAAATTAACAAATAATTAAATTTATATATTGATTACTAACGTTTCGATTTGATCAATTAGACCACCTAACTATTTAAATGTTTTAATAAAGTCATTGGTCGTTAATTTTTAATATATTTGTCAGTAATATTTATATATTCTATCAATTTAGTCACTATTTAAATTCAATTAAATAAATTTAACTTAATAAATTAAACATTCAATTAGGAGGTAATAGATTTTATTTACAAATTTTAATTTTTTTAATTAAATAATTTTTTATCCAATCAGGTGGTGACAAGTCTCACCACTCGATTGAAGTGAAAATAATGGGGACATATTTTCACTTAAGGAAAATCAAACCAACATCAGAGAGAAAGGATGAGTAGTTGGGCACCCAAAACTACAGGCAAAAGGTCCCCAATGGTTTAAAACGTACAACAAATTGTATTCTTCATTTAAAAGCTTGTTATTGATAAAAAAAAAATTAGAAATGAAAAAAAATAGAATTAGAATGTACACAAATTATAAAATAAAATATTACATAAATAATTTAAAAAATCGAATATTTTAAAGCGTTATTAATGAAAGATTTACAATAAAAACAAATTTAAAGTTTTTATCTATTAAAATTTAAATTTAAAATATAATTTAAAAACATAAAAAAAATGGTTCATAAAAATATTAAATAAAAAATATAAAAATATAAATTTAATATTTTTAATAAGGTTTTATATTTTAAAATTTACAAGTGTCACCACTTAATTGGTATTAAAATATAAAATTATAAAAACAAATACATAAAATATTAAATTTAGTTTTAAAATATAAATATTTAAATTTATTTTATTGTAAATATTTCATTAATTACACTTTATAATATATATAATGTATTTAAATATAAATAAAATATTATTTTTATTTAATTGTATAAACACTCTTTTATTTTATAATTTGTGTAAATTCGAAATTCTTTTTATTTCTTTTTTATACCGTTAAAAAATTTAAATGATTAATACAATTTCTTGTAATTTTTAAACCATTGAGGACTTTGGCTTAGTGGTTTGAGCACCTAGTTGTTCAGTCTTTCTGCCTTACGTTGTTTCAATTCTCCTTAAATGCAAATATGTCCCCTTTATTTCAATTTGATTGGATAGAAAAAGCATTTAATTAAATAAATTAAAATTCATAAATAAAATCTTCCAATAATATATTGACATGTATCACCTCCTAATTGAATCATTAATTTATTACGTTAAATTTATTTAATTGAATTAAAATAATAACTAAATTGATAGAATGTGTAGATATTAAGGACCAACTATATAATTAAGCCAATTTTATTACCTGACACATCACCACATCTGTTAAAAATTAACGACCGGGGCCTGATTATAGCACTTAAATAATTGGTGGTCTGATTGATCAAATCGAAACTTCAGTGATCAATATGAAAATGGTAATAGTTTAATGGTCACCCATGTAATTTACCAAAAATATTTCTTAAACTCATTTTCCCCCATGTTTAATCATTCTTATCAAATATTCACAGTTACATTTTCCTAGACCTCTTCATCGACCGTTGTTCATTAGCATCTTGGTTATTCTAAAGAATCATAAGCTCGTTTTATCGTCCTCTAATATTTAGTCAATTTAGATTTCCATGAAATCTCTTAACTCGTGAAACTAAATACAAAAAATATATATATATGATTTTAGATTTGGGGGTTTGGAGTGATTGTTCGTAGATTTGAACAATGAGAAACATTATTTCGAGAACTCGAACAACATACTTGAAAACTAGCCTCGTCCAACGACAATCGAAGTAGATTGGAATATTAACATGTTGAACATTTAGATCTATTTTCATCGATTTTGAGCAAGTTCGTGGAAAATCAATCCGATGAGAAGAAGAGAGAGTGAAATGTGAACATTTTGATGCCTATCTTGTCACGAATGATGATCAGTGAAGTGATTGACCGACCATCAACGATGATCAAATAATTCAATGTCTAAAATTAAACCAATTTAAAGTTTGATGACAAAATCGATAGACAAACTAAAATTAACGAAAAAAGAAGAAAAAACAACAACGTCAATACTCCATTTACCACTTCAAAACTCAATGATTTAGTTACGAATAAAACCAAAGTTTAGTATTAAAATCGTATCAATTTAAAGTTTAAACAAGTTCAATACATAGACAGAAATTAAAGGGTGTCTAAAATAATTTACCCTAGATAATAACTAAATTGGATTTAAGCATATTTAGGACGTTAGTTATAAAAGCATACAAGTACCTATATTCAGAAATTTAGAGTTATTGACAAATTAAAGGTGGTAATAGGATGAACATGGGTCGAGTCAGATTTTCGATCTACCTGACCCAAACTAAAAATTATAAATCCTCCACCCAATCCGAAAAATATACACCTTCCACTCAATCTAAACCCGACCCGATTTTTGAGATAAAATCAAACCTGATCTAATCTGACCCAACCCGAAATAATATATTTATTAAAAAATATTATTTTTATTCAATAAAAATAAAAATTTAATTGAAGAAAATAATATATAAGGAGTATTATTACAATTATCCCTAAAATATATAATGTAAAATTATATTTTTTGAGATAAAGTCGGGTATTTTTCATCATAAACCTAAACCCGACCAGAACATAACCTTAAAAAATCCGATCCAACTGAACCAGAAACTTTTTTTTAAAATTCGACTCGATCGAATATGATCAAAACCCTCGATTCAGATCTCATGCCTATCCTTAGGTGGTAATAGCTTAGATGAAATTTCCAGTTTGAAAATTCTTTCATATGATTGTTTAGTAAATTTTCTTTTTCTGTAGCTACCGACCCAAAAGCACTTTTTAATTTGAGCTAATAATCACTTTTCATATGTGAATTTTTAGCTGAAAATCATCTATTTGAGATTGCTTTTGCGTGTAAAACGGATTTTCGGACCAAAAAGCACTTCCAGAAGTATTTCGACATAGATTTTTTGATCAACTACACCCACCCCTGCAGGTCCATACTATATTTGGTTCAAATTTTTAAACTACAAGCATTACTCCATAACCAGTTGCATATGACGATTCAAGTCATTTAGGTAGCTGGTTCGACTATAATCTTGCAGATCAAAGCAGTCCCCAATCACTGTTTTCTCACCGTGAGATTTCCAGTCGCGCTCTACGGGACTCTCCTCGTTCTTCAGCAGCTTCACAACCTGAACATCGCAACGGTTCCGGCATTAACTTTATGTGAAAACAAAGGGAACAAAAGGAGATGGCTTCAAATTTGCTTGGTACCCTCATCATGCTTGGACGCATGTTGGCTGTGTGATTAATGCACATGGAAGCTGTTAACATCGCGCGTTTCATTTCGGCTGGGTCGTAATCGTCTCCCAGTTTAGGATCTACCAGTTCCTTTACTTTGTTTCGTTCCAGGAGCGGTTTTGCCTGTAAACGAAGTGGAAAACGAGTTCAAATCTTTTTTTCGAAATGCTTTTGCTAATTGAACGAGTTCGGGCAGAAGATGTACCCAGATCACAAGGCTTTGTCTAGCTGAATCGACCGCAAGTCGACCTGTTAGTATCTCCAGCAACAGAACTCCGAATGCGAATATATCGATCTTCTCATCAACAATCCCATGCATGAAATACTCCGGAGCTAAATACCTGCAGACATTTGGCTCACGTTCCTGAATTTATGAAATCAGCAATGCCACCAAGAAGTTGACTGAATAAGGGAAAGGAACTCCATGCCTAACCCGAACGTTCCTTCAATGGGATGGACGACACGGTGAGGCCAGTTTTCCGGGAGCCACTTCGCCAGACCGAAATCTGATATCTGTAACGAGAAGCAAAATATAGAAGATTGGTGTTTTCAACCGAATAGTATTAACTCGAGCCACTAAAAATGGAAAGACAAATATATCAGAGCAAGAAAAGCACCTGAGCTTCGAAATCCTCGGTAAGCAGTATGTTGGAGGCTTTAATGTCTCGGTGTATGATACGCCTCTGGCAATCATGGTGGAGGTATTTCAATCCATCTGCGATACCGGTGGCTACCTTAAACCTCGTCTTCCAGTCTAGGTGCTCAGGTGAACCTGCAGAGCAGAATATTTCCCCGTTAGTCCGATTGTTAGGCAATGGTTGATCCGATAGTATAACCACCATACTAAGCCAACAGAATTGCAGCCATTGTGATTCAACTCTTTGCTTGCTTCCACTTATACTAATAGAGAAACCAATATATAGTACCAAAAAGAACTGAAGAAAGGCTTCCATGAGGTGAAAACTGAAGGACCAAGTGCAAGCCTCCATCGATGCTGAATCCGATTAAGCGAGCCGCATTCGGGTGATCAATGTGAGCAATAATCCCAAGTTCCGACAAGAAATCATTGGCTCTATCCTCCGCTTCTTTCTCGTTCTTCACTAGCTTCTTCACCGCTACAATTCGACCATCGGATAATTGTCCTTTGTACACTTCCGCATGCCCCCCTTTTCCGAGCAAATTCTCTGCGAATTTTCGAGTCATAGTTAGAAACAAACATCATCGGCGTAACCGAAAACACCGAAAAGCCAACTCAAGTCAACAGTCAGTTTCATGTCCTCGTGATTCAAGGGGAACCATTAAGTCCAAATCTGCTCATCTTTAAACCATTAAGTTGCTTTCAGTTGTAGGCAAGTTTGACCATCAGGCTGCTGATGTATCAGTTGATAAATTGTACTTAGAATCTAATATGAGAAGTCAAAATTATCCAACTTGAAAAAGATTGATTCATCTATCTAAACCATATATTGAAGAAACTGATTCAATTCATCATAAGACTAACCACAACTTTCCAAAACAACGTCCGCTAAAGCGGCAACGTTTTTCGTATAACCACCAATCTTCGATCTATTGATCAACTCATTCAAATCAGTTATCACAGAAAAGTGTTCTATTTGAATACTAAACCTTTTTTTTTCCTATCTGGTGTCTCTCAACTTCAACACTTGGACCCCTCCCTTCCCAAAGAAACTTAAGAATACACACACATACACAATGTAAAACTCTTTAGTTTTACGGGCATGAGTGAAAATAGATAGACTGAGATTTTTTTTTTCTTTTTTCAGGTAAATATCTTCACATTCACTACTTATAATCTCGATCATCGTCCATCTGTCTTAAATCTATATAAAACTAAAACAGTTCTATGTTGTGTATATATATATACACGATACGATCTTCTTCCTACAAAACTAGGAATCTAATATCTCAACTCTGATTAAAAATATCACAGAAAGCTGAAACGAAAGGGCAAAAAGATTCAAACTTGAAATGAAATTGCTTACCAGGGTTGAAATTGTCAGTAGCAGAATCAAGCTCGTAGAAGCTAAAGCTCTTCCAAGATGGTTTAGGAACTTCCATGAAATCAATAGCACCAACAGTTTCTTCCTCGGAGGCATTAAATTTTCCCAGTTTCAACCTCCTTAAGTTCTTCCTGGAGATATCATAACTTGCCAGCAAAGGAACAAGAGAGAAACTTCTGGCTGATTTCTTCTTAATATTTCCAATCAAATTCTTCCATTGCGAACCACAAGAATCTTTATTCCCTTTTATTTTTGGAGAAAACGAACTGGAATTGCTGCTGCAGCTGCTGGTATCATAGTCTGATCCCAACACGGGTATTTCCAACACACACCTTGGTGATTGCTCATCATTTTCTGGGTTTTTCTCTGAGTCAACCGTCTCTGCAACAACAAAAACAAAAACCCATTTCATGAAAACTGTCGAAAAAACAAACAAGAACAAGTAGGAAGAAGCCTCAAGTACCTTCCATGGCCATTTATGCAAGGCTTTTCGAGTACTCGAAAGAAATGTGGGAAAATTTGTGTTTTTAAAAAAGAGAGATTGGATGCTTCAACAAGCATGGGAAACCTCACAAGAAACGCATAATAAAGTTATATTTTTCATGTTTCGAGATGGGGGCGTGGGTGTTGTTGGGGACTGGCTTGTAACCAAAGAATTTTAGATGGACCGGCTTTCAAAGAAAAGAATGATACATCTTTTGAAGTTGATAATTCCTAGAGACATCAAATAATAAAAGGCAAAGCTGAAAACCTGCAGCTTGATGGCAATGATTTAGAATCTCTCTTATTTATATTGAATTCCCTTTTCTTGCCCCCACGTTTCCTTATATTTTATTTAAAACAAATTCATTCAAATTTTTATTAAAATAAAAATCCATAAAAAGCATCAAAATTTATGTACTAATAAAAAAATTAATGTTGGTCTTGTATTATTTCTTTTTTTTAATGTGACATTTTAATATAAAAAAAAATTAGTATAATCTATGGACCAATGTTTTTGTCATTTACTGTTACAGTGCTAACATAATAATTTATGGTGTTGATGTGACAATTTATCCGTCATATTTAAGTTACCAATTTAACTCATCTACTATGTCATCAGCCATGTTATCAATCACCTTGGACTGCTACGTTAACATTGTAACATTAACGGTGAAAAACGTTGGTCAAATTGCCATATTAGATTTATTTTCAAAGTTGAAATGTCACATTAAGAGAAAAATAATATGGTGATCACATTGATTTTTTTTAAAAGTACAGAGACACCTTCGATGTCTTTGTGCCATAAAAATTTGAATAGCACAAATGTTTATCTTAGTGTGTTGTTAATGTTTAAAAATGATTTTGAACAACACATTAATTTATCTCAGTAATTAAAGGGATGATTTTTAATCTTAAATATTTTGAATTCGAGCACAAGCGACTGTAAGATATTTGAATGTTTATTTTCATATGTAAGGATGGGCATGAGTCGGATTTTTAGTCCACCCGACCCGAGAACAATAACTCATCCACCCAAAATCCGACCAGACCCGCATAATATATATCTTCCACCCGACTCGAACCCGACCCGAATTTTTGAAATAAAATATGAACCCAGCCCGACCCAAAATAATAAAAAATATTATTTTTATTCAATAAAAACAGTGATTTAATTAAAAAATAATATATAGATTAATATTATTGTGATTATTCCTAAATATATAAGATAAAATTATTTTTTTAGGATCGGGTTGGGTATTTTTCACCCTAAACCCGAATTCGACCCGAACGACACCGTTAAAAAACCAACCCGACCCAAACCCGAATTAAAAAAAATAAAACCCTACTTGATCGGGTCAGGTCGGAATTCATCGAGTTCAAGTCTCATGCTCATCCTTAATTATATGGTTAATAGTCTTTAAAACAGATAATGCTACTTGTAATCATCTAGATTAATAATAAAAAGAATAGTATTTTTGAACTAATATTACTTTATGATTTTTAAATTAAATTATAAATGTTTTTTACGTATTTTTATTAATAATTAAAATAATAACTAGTATTAATTTTTTTGAATAATATGTGTAATTAAAAGATAATATATTTTTAAAATCTTCTTTAATTATCGATAATATACGCACCTTATATGCATAACGGTTCAAACTCAAAATGTTTAAAAATAATATAATTCCTTTTAATTACAGTTTAAGTCCTAGGAATTCATATTAAAAGTTTTAAATAGTTTGGGTAGGAAATCTTATTTCGACGAAATCCTGACCGTTGATTTTACTGCTCGAGATTTGTGGCGCAACTAACGCTCGCAAAAGGATGGGAGAAAAGTTAACGAACCGACCTACGGTTGGTAAATTTTAAGCGTATTTGAGGGTGTTTTGGGTATTATAAACGGAATGAATTTTTATGTGGCGGGAATTTTATAATATAAGATTAAATAATAATTGCTATGTTTAAATAATTTAATTAATCTAATTTTTCTCTCAATATTCTTATATCGTCTTCTTTTCATTTTTTTGTTTAAACGATAACGATATCAATTTTAATACTGTTATCCGTTGTCAGTGATTATTATTTTTCTTATTATTTTTCGTATTATGTCTTTATTTTTTCTTGATTTTTCACTTTTAAATAAGAATCTCTATCATCGTGACACGTTTTTCTCTACTCTTGTGGTACGTTTTTTCACTGCTCTTGTGACACGCTCTTTATGATTTTCGGTAAGTTTTTCTCATACTTTTGCTGTTGTGTTGATGCTTCCACAAAGATCCCCATGATATTTGTTTTCTGATTAGATTGTCGATGGACACGTATTGTCATATCACATATTTTGTAAATGGTCGTTTGTTGATATAATCTGAATTGTGTAGCGAAACAGTCTGTCAAATCGTTTGGTTCGCTCACCACTCCTTTATCACATCGTAAAATGTCTTGTTCGACAGAGACAAGAAGTTTTATGAAGGTTACTAGATTGTTTTGATGTTTGGAAGGTTTCATTCTCTTCGTATCTTCAGATTTAATATTTTTATTTTATGTATGAGTTTTTGGTGAGAATTGTCTCCAATTTTCTCTTTAGAAGCGTTGTAATTTTGATTTCTTCATTTTTATTATTGAAATTCAATTGTCGTTGTTCAAAAAAAATAATTGTACTATATGCTTTGTTTTTAAAATTTTAGTGGATGGAATGGGTACGGCTAGAAAAACTTGAGACGATTCGAAAAATTGCTTTTTTCGATTCAAATCTATTCGAATTAATTTCAAATTGTAATTTCAAAAATTCGGCTCTACTCTAAAAAATTTCAGATTCAAATCTAGCTGTAAAATACAATTCGAATAACTCAAATTTTTTAGTGATCAGTGGATTGATTTTTCAAGTTTGAGTTAACTCCCTCGACTCTATATCATAATTGTATATAAGATATGAAAAAATATAAAGAAGTACACATGCATTGTACATGATTATAAAAAAAATCATTTAAACTTGAATAAAATAATATCATAATATTATAAATATTTATAATTAAATTTAAACAGAAATTCAAAAATTTGACTAGACTCGACTCAAAATTTTATATACTCGACTACATACATCTCTATAATAAAGTAGTATCTCTTCTAAACTCGTTTTTGTAAATGTACATTGACATTATCTCTTTATGATTTTTTTTAAAATATCTTATCATTTTTACTGTTAATATTTTTACTTATTTAATAATTTTAAAATGATTTAAAATTAAAAAAGTTACATAATGTAAACAGACATGGACGGAATTAAAGAGGGGCTAACGGGGCCATGGTCCCCAAAAATTTTAAAAATTATAGTTTATACCTTTAAAGTTTTCAAAAAAATTAATTTAGACCTATAAATTTTTTTTGAAATTAAGATTAAACTTATTTATTTTAAATTTCTTAATTAATCCTCTTCTATAAATTTTAAATATTCTCATTAAGTCTTTCAAAATCTAAAAAAAAATTAATTTAAACATCTGATTTTTTTAAAGTTTTATGTTAACCCCAGCTCTAATCACTAAGTTTTGCCACTGTATACAGATCTCGACTCTGATATAAATAGATGGAATTATATAGTTGTGCTTGAGCATTGAAGTGCAAAAAAAAAACCGAATATTCGATTTTGTGCAAAAAATATTCGAAATCGGATTTGGGAAAAACCTGTTTTTTTTTTAAACCGGATCGGATATTTCAAAACCGGATAGTATAACCGGTTTGGGAAAAAATTGGACGACCGGATTTTTTACCGGATTAAAAATCAGTTTGAAAAAAACCGGATAAAAAAATGGTTTTTATCCAGAAAAAAATCCGGTTTGGGGTTTAAAAAATTAGATGACCGGATTTTTTACCAGATTAAAAACCAGTTTTTTTAAACCGAAATCGGTTACACCGGTTACATCATCCGACCCTCCAAACCGGTTATGATCCGAACCGATGTTTTTATAAACTGATTTTTTGACTTGATGAAAAAACCGGATCGATTTTTATCCGATCTGAATTAAATTTAAATCCGATAAAGATCGGATTTAAATCCGACTACGTGTATCTCTACTTGAGCATGATCAATTAGAAAGAGGGGCCTAATGTCTGCTGTGGTAGTAGGAATCTATCACAACCAAGCCCCAATGTTTGTAATTAATTAGCATGCCCATTAGAGGTGGGTATACGGCTACCCGCCCGTTTAGCCCACGGGTTTTAACGGTGCGGGCTTAAACGGAACGGGCTAAAAAGCCCGTATTCATAAACGGTTTTAAATTTTAAGGCCCGCGGCCCGTCTATTTAATCCGCGGGCTAAACGGGTTTACCCGCGGCCCGTTTAATAAAAATAATTTTAAATGCTTTAAATACAATAAAAATAATGTTTTAACTTACTACACCTTTAAAAATGATCGAGCAACTTGAAAAGGAAGGTAGCACTGTCAAAATAATAAATAATATTTAAATTTTATTTTAAATAGCCGGAAATGATTATAAAATAATATTTTTTTTAATTTTTTAATCATTAATATATATATATATATATAATGATATAATTACTTAAACTCAAATTAAAAAAAACAATATTCACTTATATCACTAAATTAAAAAACAAATAAAACAATAACCACATTATACTTTTATAAAACACGATTATTCAAGGCTATAATATGAATACACATAAGTGTCTGAAAGTAGAAATTCAAACATAAAAATTCAACAAAATCAAACATTATACAAATCTAACAAGAAAGTTGTCAAGTGTTTATAATAATTGTATTTTATGAATACTTTAGAGAAATACTAAAACATAATATGAAAATATAAAATAAAATACTTACGGTATAAGAGTAAATTTGAAAGATACAATTATACTAAAATTGATAAAATATAAGTCATTAATTTGTCCAAATATTACGTGTCATGTGATATATTATTAGAATATCACGTGACTTTTTATAATTAAAGAACAAAATAGATAACATACTTCATGAAAAAAATAAAGGTCAAAATTAAATAAAAAAACTTTAAATACCAAAATGATAATGATGTATATTTAAATGAAAAAAAAATCAAGCAACGGTAAAATTATGACAAACACCCTAATAAATTTAAAAACTACAATAGTTATAAGTAACATCATATTTATAAGTAATTTATTTTATTTTTCTATAAAATTCTTTAAGTTTATTTTCTCTAAAATTTTATAAATTTTAAATTAAACGGGCTTTAACGGGTTTAACGGGTAGCCCG